AAGTGCAAATAGCTAAAAATTTCCGTTACTTTTTTGAGATTTTTTTTTGTCGCATTTGTTTCCATATAACGAATGAATATACATATATGTATAAGGAAACCGTAATATCTTCAACAAAAAAATTCCTAATTAAATTTTCAATTGTATTTGGATAGAAAAAATTTAGATAAAATTTAAATTTTCGTTTTCTTATTTTTTTTTTTTTAACTTTGATGACAAATAAATAAATAAAAATATTACGAATTTCGAAGGCGTGTAAGTTTTAGCGTTGGTAGCGGGCAAGATTTTATCGGAAAACTCCCTCCGTTCATAAAATTGTTTTCAGAAAAAATGCCGAAAATATTAGACAAAGTGCTGGTATTATTTGATTCAATTTCAACATTTCATTTCATAAGATATTTGAGTCATCAGTGTGTACGAGGAAGGAAACGAAAAAATATATCTTTTTTTCATGTGACATTTCGAAACATATTTCTAAAGAACTTTTAGTCAATGCTAGAACAATGGCTCTACACACAGTGCCTTAGACATTCGCACCGTTTTTGAGAAAACTGTGCCACTGGCTATATTTTTAAAGTCGGGACGTATAAGTGGCCCGATTTTTCATATTTTTACCGATTAAATCCCGATTTTCAGTGTTTTCTTTATTAGTTTAATAAGAGTCTCCCTGAACTCTGGCCCAAAAACCAGTTTTCGTACAAACGTGGTAGCACTTTCGTAATCACAAAGAACACAGAATATATGGGAGCCATAAACGTATAGCCCAGTTATGCATACTGAGCTTTGCTTGAGGGTTGTCACATAGCAATCTGTTAAATGGGCTTTGCGTGTAAGCGGTTACCCAACGCATTGCACTTAATATGTAGAATTCTGTTTGGTTTTGAGTTTTACGTAAAAATGGTATAACAGTGCAAATATGCATAACTGGGCTATTAGCCAGCATCCTTATATTCTATGATCTTTGTGACAAAATGGTACTCTCGCTATATTGCAGTCTACAAATCTTTTCTCAACGATTTGAAAAGGTTTTTATAGTTTTTTGTTAAGTTCTTTTTTTTAATGAAACGAATCTAACTTGAATTTAGTGAAATCATAAAAAATAATCAATATTCTTTTAAAAAATTAACTGATATGAAAAATACATATAAGCGGTAGATACAGCGGAAATTATAAATAGTGAAGAGAAATTTTAGCATTCGTTGACTTTTCCCCTTTCGATTACACAGTGCAACACTCAAAAATTGATGGTAATGAGAACAATTGCATTCATTGAAAGAGGTCAAAATATGACTAAAAACCTAAGCATTTGTAAAAGTGGGTTCCCATTTCCATCTTATATCGATTCGAAGTTGTGAATT